GGGAAAGATTTGTTATTAAATTAATGAATGTAAGCAATGGGTCAAACATATAGACATAAAATAAAGTCACTGGACCTTATGAGACGTCAAACCGAATAAGTCGAAATCTTTTAGACATTTGGATATAAGAACTAATAATCACACTAATAACCTCATTGAATGAATGAGATACTTGGATTGAATATTAAATCTTTTGTCCTATAACAAAATAATATGAGCAGCATTCGAGATAGAATGCAATAGATTTTGTTCAACAAGCGCAATATGTTTTCAAGAAAATACAGGTCAAGTACGGACCACCTTACATTCAACATAGACAATTGTCTAACATCAGTTAATCACTATGAAGTCAAGCTCTTCTCATGTATGAATAGCTTCCACCATGTCTTCTTAAGAGAAAGGATTGAGTCTTGAAAGGAGACCTCAACCGAGTAATACATTTTTGAAAAAAATTGGGTGATTACAATCCACTTACATATAATCATCAAAATCCCCAACCAAAGAACAAAATGAAGAGTATCTCTCATTACATCACACCAAAAAAATATAAAACCCCCTAGCTGTATACATCAAAAATCAAAACAACTCCTAACATACATCCAAAAAATGGAACATTAGCAACATTTATCAACAAAGTATAGAGCTTAAAAAACATCTTCATTCACCAAAGACCTGAACTCAACTACATAGCATCAAGTTGTTGGTGTCCTAGCAGCTCCCCACGTCTCTTATTGTTTCGCCATGGTTTTATGGTCGGAAAGGCTAAAACAATAAGGACATATCAAGACATATAAATTTCTGAACACAGTTAAATGAACATGAAACAGAGATGCATAGGGAATTAGAGCAGATCACCTAAGTATTGATCGAATCATTGATATTGAACAAAGCAATATAGAAATCAATCTCTCCTATAAGGAACATTCTTTTTAAACAAATACCAATTACATGTATAATATTTCTTACATTATAAAGTCTACCAACATTTCTTACATTAACATCTATAATATCTGTTACGCTATAGAGTCTATCAATAGAATAATTAAGCTAATAGATGCAAATGCGTTTTGGCTAACTATCATTCTCTAAGTTATCATATGAATTGTAGCCTGTAAGCTTAATAATTTCCTTTAGCAATTGCATTATCAATTTTTATATGTATCATGAAATTAATACTTTCCTCATAGTAATTCCAATTGGCATTTGAGCTCATATTTGCTTACATGAATTAAGATATTGCAAGATATTTGACAATGTCCATTTAGTAAAAGTTTACTCTCTGATAGGAATTTAGAAATTTCAGAATCTTTAGTATAGAACAATTGAGTCAATTACAATTATTATTAAACGGCTAAAAAAGAAAAGGGAAAAAAACAAATAAAGCTCTCTAAACAAAATATATTAAACTACTATATCTACTTATCGTTCTAACAGATGAGCGAAAGGGATATAGCCTATGATGATTTGTTGAAGATAAAAAAGGTTAAATTTATTATTTTTTTTAAGTTGAGCCAAAGGTATTAATTAGTTTTTACATCTTAAATTTTTTTCCTAAAATTTTTGAAATTAGCTATAAGGTATCCAATTAAAAATGCTAGTCCAAAAATATGATTTAGTAAAGGATTTTTATCGACAAAATATTTAATTTGCCTTTGTCAGGTTGAATAGAGCGTGGACCCCTAAGTTTTGCTCGCAAGAAAAAAAGCATTCACATCATTAAAAACAATCTTATAGGATATAATTATTGTTCTTGAGCCTTGATAGAAGGAAACTAAAATAAAGCAAAGGGTTATTTGCACTTTAGTATCACAAAGTTTATACCAATTGAACCTCAATACCCCAAACTTACTACATATGTGAGCTCACACTTTAGTATCACAAAGTTTATACCAATTGAACCTCAATACCCCAAACTTACTACATATGTGAGCTCAATTTCTTTCACATCTGCCAACTACTACTGGCCTACTATTATGTGAGTGTAAAATACTTTTTTAAAAGGAAAAACATTATTGGAAAACAGGAAGTTGAGCTAAACAAGTCGGATCCATCTGAATGGTGGTGTATCCTTTACTGATTGGTAGCATTGGCTGCAATGTAAATTGATACTTAACGTTGATTAACTCTACTTGAATGGACAATCATGCATCTCTACCATCTGAAAGCATTTTCTCTGCACCTCCATCGCCAAAACCATTATAATAATCTAGATCTTGATTTTGTTACCTATCTCAAATACTTCCTGCAATTCATTTTGGGTTCAACTGACCTCTCCGAGGTGAAGTACCATATAGTTTTTTGCTATCATCCAAGGCAGAAATATCCCCCTGAAATAATCTTCCATTATGCCACATAAGGTCCTTTAGTCACAGATGTAACACTAAAAAGTACCTTCCCAAGCTATGGATGTTGTCACTTTATTTCTCACTTAGATCTATCATCACATTTAAGATTGAATATTAGTCCTCAGATGCATAGATTGTCTATTATGAATAGTAGAAGCATATCTAATAATAGGTTACGATGAGACCCTAGTTGTTTTTGGTTAAAATTACTGATTACAAACTAATAGGTAAATGAAAAAGACACCAGAAGCAGAAGGAACAACAAAATAAATGAAATTAGAAAATTTCGGTTTTGGTTTGCACAATTTGAAAACCAGAATACTGTGAGGATATCAAGATAGTCTAACCAATCTTTAGTGTTGTGTTCAAGTTGTTCCTCGCATTGCTAAGAAGTTTTATCCTGTCGTGATTTTTTCTATCAGCGTTTGACACTCTTGCCACAATCTGACATGTCACATACCGGCGATTTAAAATGTATAGCAATATTAAAAAAGAAGTTCACATAAGATATGGAAGGAAATCCGCAATTAGTACACATAAAATATATCAAACAATGCCTAGACCCGTTCACATAAGATATGGAAGGAAATCCGCAATTAGTACACATAAAATATATCAAACAATGCCTAGACCCGAACCAAGGCTATACCTTTCAATGGGCACAAAGTTTTCCCGGATCTGGTTTACTGTCTTCTGAGATGAAGTGAGAGCAACTATAGCAGCATGTGCTTGCTCAACCTACGAAAAATGTTAAAAAATTGTCAACAACAAATTTAAACAGATTGGAAAACGTGTGCAATCCTCACAAAGGGAAAAGGAGAACGACCAAAAGAGGAGAATATAAACAGTTTGTAAAGCTGAAATCATATTTAGCATTATGGTTATTCAACAGTAGCAGATTTCAGCAATGGTTGGGGGAAAATTAGCATTTTATTGCAGAAAATAGACATTCTTACATGCTCAGAAACCATTGTGCTCAATTGTGCATCATTCGCCTGAAAAGCACAGGAAAATATGAGTACATGTTATATCTTACAAGTCAAAGCATTTTTTATTCCTCTCATGCATTACGACCTAAAGTCTACAATTCTAAGCAAACAAATGTTTCCTTGGGACCTTGTATAACAGGTGCAGTGCAATTTCACTGAATGCTCGAAGTATCCCCATAGAAATCTCACTGAAAAACTAAATTTTGGGATGAAAAGGTCAGTTGTAACTGAATCTGTGCATATCCAAATCTATTTCAAAGTAATTTTCACCATGTCCAAATGTGCAGATAATTTAGATAAATAACATAAAGGTGTTTGCTCAATAATAAAAAAGGATGCATTGCGCTCTTCTGACTTCTTCAAGTCCACATGAAACTTTATCAGATGATGAAGTATGTATGGAAAAAAACAAATAATAAGCAAAAGGCTTTAATGTATGATGTTTTTTCTTTTTCTTTTTTAACTTGGAGGTTCCTCCTCATAAAACAAGACTTTTCCCTTTTCCTTTTTTTTTCTTTTTGCATCTATACATGTGAGAGAAGAAACCAGTAACATAATCGTTGCAATAAGGACATATAAAATCCTAGGCAGTAATTATATCTTAAGTCAAACTCCATGAGAGTCTCAAATCACAGTCATACCTCCCTACTAAAGCAAGTAGACTCATATGTTACGCAATAGTAGATTCATGGTGTCAGTAGCCATTGACACCAAGAAAAAACGTGAAGTAGCCAAGGGAGCTTCAATATTACATATCACCACAGCTCTAGAAGCAGTTATGAAAAATACCCCTATGACCAAGAAAAATTAGTTATGTTACAAAATAATGCAGAGAACTGTAACAAACAAAACACTCTAGACACCTCCATTTACCATGGTAACATCGAATAACACTACACTCGAAAGTATAATAATTGGTTACATTATGAATTGGTTTGTTTGAATACTAAAATTCTAACACACATAAGTTTGTAGCCAAGAGGTGATGTGCACACACATAATAAGGCCCTAAAAAGGATCGCTTTTGAAAAACATTCTAGCATTATTTCATAGGAGAAAGCGACGACTGATTCGAGTTGGCTGCAAGCAAACTAAAATAAAACGCTAACTAATATGCAAGTAGAGTTGGGCAAAGTGATTCTTTGAAGACCGAATCATAAACAAGCACAGAGACTTCCATAAAAGACACGAGTAAATTCAAGAAGAACACCAAATATTTCAAGTGCCTCCCTAAGAACATATTTGTTGAGCACCTGAAAGAAAAAAAGTTTCTCCTGATCTCCAATAAGTGACCTTGCGTTTTCAAGGTCACAAGAAAACCTATTTTTCTTTTTTTTAAAGGCCAACAAAAGGTGGATGTACAAGGATAATCATAGTATCAAGGTTCAAGAGTCATCGAGCCTAAGTTTATCTATAATGTAATGTATATAGGACACTTCTCTAACAGAAGCTATAATGTAATATAATACACTTCTCTAAGCAAGAGCTTGTGACTCTGGTTGCCCCTGACTGCTCCAGAAGCTATATTAATTGACTCGTATCAATTAATATAATTAATTGTTTTACAAACTATTTCATTATTTAAACTCGTTTAGTTCTGATATCAACTTCTCATAACTAATGAATCTCTTTAATTAGTAGTGAGCAGTCTATTAATCATTTGTAAAATCCCTTCCATTGTATCTTTGTCATATGGAACCTCAAAGATTAGTTACTTTCTGTGATTTTAACAAAAGAGGACTATAGGGCATTTCTTTTTAATCATTTTTTGGAGATTCAAGATTCCTTTGCAGCTGAAAATTTATAGCATCTTTTGTGGTTCGAAGGACTCCAGACATCTCCTATTCAAGACAACTTACCTAAATTGCCCTTCACCGTGTCTTTAATGACAAGTTTTATTGGCTTCAGATCAAGTATTTCACTTAGCTTTGACACAATTAGAACATAGAACATTCTAATCTAACCTCAGTCAAAAGCAAACAAGATTTAAACAGTGACCTTAAACAAATCATATCATGCACTAAGCAATTATAAAATTAGCATATCAAAGATCTTGAAAAGGGGACGATCGCAAGATCACAGCTTGGCATGTCCTTTTTCTGAGACATGAAACATTTCTTTGTCAAGTGTTCTTTTAACTCTATAACCAACATAGCAGCAGTAGACCCAATACATTTCTATAGATTGACAATGCTGCATAATTTTGTTTCATACTTCTAACAAATGAATTGCTATTGCATTTCGTTTTGCATAATGTATACAACAATATATACATTAAAATGCATAATCATCTAGACACATGAAAATCCCCAAATTCCTACCATTCAGAATGTGGAGAAGAACCAAAACGGAATGGTTCCACCTACACAAAACTCGACAACAATATACCATTTTGAGCAACTACAAGCATACAAAAGATCCAGCTCACATTCACAAGGAATAAATAAAAAATGCATATCTCAAAGTTTTCTGTACTCCACTCCTCCAAAAACTCCAAAATTGGATGCGCAACTGATCCTACTGTTATGTATACCATCAGAGCAAGGTTCTTCACCAATCCACAAGCCTGACAAACATACAACATTCAAATGTTAGCATAAAAAATGGGGATGCTGAAATACTTGTATAGCTTCAGTTTACCAGTAAAGAGAAACATCTCCGCTAGTGTTAGCTAAAAAGAATATTGATATCTATGCAGTGATTTTAAATTTAAAGTTATAGGGGGGAAAACAGAAGGAACTTCTAAAATATTTAACTTGACAATAAAAGTTTCAATCTACTTTGAAGTCATGGATTCTTCAGCTTGTATTTCTACCATACAGATCCAAACTTCCACTTTTACAAGCCAGCTTAGTTTCATATGTCAAACCTCACTTTAAGTTCAGCATGCAGAAAACTTCACAACCTTCCGCTGTCTACTGAGATATCTACTTTCCTACACCCAGAAACCCTAAACCCCTAAATTGTTGTACCAAAACCAAAATCACTTCAATTTCAATAAATTAACATGTGAAATTCCATCTTTTAAAGTAAATTCAATACTCACTTGCATCCATTAGCAGTAGAACAAACAAATTCATCCTCACTGGGATGGACCGCAAACCCTAGCGGGTCCCCGCTAATTGCAAACCTAGCCTGCACCAATAAAAAAAATCTAGTGATCAAAGAGCTCAAATACTAAACCCTAACAAATAATCAAGCGATAGAAGAGAAAAAAAAACATGGGATCATCGGAGATTGAGGAGTTCTTGGCATCGAAAGAGAAGATATGGATAACTTGCAAATTCAAGCAATAATCAGCAATATCAGGCTAAAAATCTTCTTTTTTTACCAAATTCAACATATGAAAACCGTAAAAAGCGAGTTTTTGAAGGTAGAAATAGCTTACAGGCAGACAAAGCACTGGAAATATGAAGGATGGAACTCGTCGCCGGCTAGGGTTTGTTCGTGATCGTAATCGATGCCCAAAATTTGAAAAGTGAGGAGATGATGGCAGAGGGGGTGCGGTGATGATGAGGATTTAAGAAAGTGAGATGGCGTTGCTGGAGGAGAAGCGTAACTCTGTGAAACGACGGAGGGGGAAGCGTAACTGAAGGTGGCTGCTAGAGGGAATTCTTAACCAACAGAAGGGGAAATGAAAGGAACGAAGGCTTTTAGGCTGCCGATTTATTAACTCTGTGAAACGATAAAAATGTATAAATTTGTTATATTTACAATAGTTGAAGGTTATTTTGGGGAAGGGAAAGTTTTTCAAGAACTCCCTCTTTTAAAATAATTTACAAGAGACGATGATTCCTTTTCAATTCATGTGTTTTAGAATTAAAATTCCTATCACAATTTTAAGTTTCTTTTATATGTTGATTATTTTAAGTGGGGAAGTGCTTGTTTCTAACTAGACACTCAAACAACCCTATAAAATCGTAGTTTTGAACTTGGGTATGGGCTGAAGCAAACCCGACCGTATCTAATGAGTTTGATATTTTGATGTGGTAGATGAATGGCAGGAATTGCTTCCCAAATGATGCTCGTCATATTATAGACTGCCATTGGAAATTTTAAGGGAAATTCTAGAAAATGAAATCGGGCATTTGATATTTTGATGCATGGTAAAGAAGATGTGTTAGGTGACCTAAGCCGTCGCTGGCGCGAAGGTGGAGTATCTTCTTCTTTGTTGGGTTAGAGACTTTGCAAGAAACCAGCGAAGAAATGAAAGCAACGTCCCAACCGTAAGAGAAGGGAACACTATCTGGGTTTTTCTTTTAAAAACGAATAGGAATCCGAGTTAAATAGGTTAAATTTGTAATTGTATTGGTTTTTTCTTCTGATGTTTTTCAAAATAACTGAAAAGAGGGTTAAATGGGTAGTTTAGCATCTGAAATCGTTAAAAATCTAATAGAAGTTATGGTGGGGGGTAAATTTGAGCGGATAAAGCAATTTGAGGGGTGAATTTAGAATTATAATGATTTGAAGTGCAAATGAAAAAAATGCCTATAATTTGAAAGGGTATATATCTGAAATCGTTAAAAATCTAATAGAAGTTATAGTTGTTTTGCAGTCTTAACTCACCCTTGAACGTATCATTTTAATTTTAAGTAGTTTTTCTTTCTACCTTATCCATTGATTTGTTATGCTTTTACTGTGGATTCTGAAAACCTCTGATATTTCTCCTGCCATGTTGACTCAGCAAGTTTTGTAGCTACAATGCCCCATGGCCTGTTCTACTGCTTTATCTTGCAAACTAAGGTGTTCTTATTCTCTGCACAGTAAAGAGATAACAAAGGAAAAAGATGATCTAGAATGGGACATCATTCAGACCACAAAAGCCCTCACAAGAGAAGGGCCGGTTGAAGGCTATAAGCCTAAGAAAATCAACCTAGAGGAGGAGCTGAAGGTAAATCATATTATCATGGTCTTTGCTGTTTATTTAACTGTTCAACAAGAAGAAAATTTTTCAGTCCTTTACTTTATTCTGATGATTATTTCCATTTGTGCAGGCTTTGCAGAAACAGATTGATATTAACAAGTACGAGTACAAGAAAATTCCCAAGCTTAATGAGCGGAAATAAAATCATGTCCTTCTGCATATTATTGTATCCATTGTCGAGGATTTTGGTATCTCGTTAACACATAATTAAGTGATAATGGAGATTTTGAGCTGAGTGTAGTAAGAGTTGGTAGTAACTCAACAAATGTATATATGAAGCTTGGCATTGCGGAAGACCTATAAGATGAACTCTCTGTAATCGTGTAATTAGTATGCTTATAGTGTTGTCATAAAGTATAGCCACCGTCGGCTATTTCTAAAAGAAAGATTATCTGGAATTGCACATTATTTATTTTCAATTGCCTGTGGATCAAGAGTCGAGCTAATTTCCTCTTAGCTAAATCAGATTTGTCATGGTGAATTTTTTGCTTTAGGGGTTGTTTGGTTTCATGTAATTATAATTTTGATCCAGGTATCGATTTTAAATTATTGCACTCGCAATTGTAGTACAAACATGTGTTTTTTTCCACCAAACCTCACAATATTTGCATAAACTGTCACGTGCTTTAAGAGTTACATGTTTCAATTTTATCCTTATGTAATTTAAATATCTATTTTTTTTTCTCTTCCCTATTTTCAAGGTAGTTTAGACTATTTATTTGAATTGTTAGTAACATAATTAGCAAGATTTCTTATAGTTTTGAAGTTACTTTTGGTGCGCCTTTTGAAGTCCCTGTTATTTTTCTTCAATAAAAGAGGTTATACTATTTGTGTACAAAACACTCTTAAGCTTCAAGATACGTTTTTAATTAGGGAAAATCTTCTTTTAACCCAAAGTTTTACTCCAACTTATTTTTAAACCCACCTTCTTTCATTATGATCCATACACCCAAAATACAACACCCACTTATTTATAAACCCAAAGTATCACTTATTTATAAACCCAAAGTATCAAATACACCATATTTCTGGTGCTCCTCCCACTCAAAAAAACCCTAAAACACTCAAAAACACTCGACTACTGACGCATCGTGTTTATTGGCCGATTATCCACCGCGTCGGGCCGTCCTCGTTGAATTTCGAAGCTTCAGGCAAAGTATAGCACTTTACGGGAAAGTATAGCACCTTATGGCCAAAGTATAGCACCTTATGGCAAAGTATAGCACATTATGGGCAAAGTATAGCACCTTAAGGTCAAAGTATAGCACCTTATGCTCTCTAAAAATTCTGCACATCAAGTTGTCGAGAACCATTTTAGTTTTTTTCCCCGCAACGAAAACATTCGACGATCGACGCATCGTATTTATTGGCCAATCATCTACCGCGTCGGGCGGTCCTCGCTGAATTTCGAAGCTTCGGCCAAAGTATAGCACTTTACGGGAAAGTATAGCACTTTATGGCCAAAGTATAGCACCTTATGACAAAGTATAGCACCTTATGGGAAAAGTATAGCACCTTATGCCCAAAGTATAGCACCTTATGCTCTCTGAAAATTCTGCAGCTTTGAAATTTAGCGAGGACCGCCTGAGAGATAAGGTGCTATACTTTGGGTATAAGGTGCTATACTTTGCCTATAAGGTGCTATATTTTGCCATAAGGTGCTATATTTTGCCATAATGTGCTATACTTTGGTCATAAGGTGCTATATTTCCCCATAAAGTGCTATACTTTGCCTGAAGTTTCGAAATTCAGCGAGGACCGCCCGACGCGGTAGATGATTGGCCAATAAATACGATGCGTCGATCGTCGAATGTTTTCGTTGCGGGGAAAAAAACTAAAATGGTTCTCGACAACTTGATGTGCAGAATTTTTAGAGAGCATAAGGTGCTATACTTTGACCTTAAGGTGCTATACTTTGCCCATAATGTGCTATACTTTGCCATAAGGTGCTATACTTTGGCCATAAGGTGCTATACTTTCCCGTAAAGTGCTATACTTTGCCTGAAGCTTCGAAATTCAACGAGGACAGCCCGACGCGGTGGATAATCGGTCAATAAACACGATGCGTCAGTAGTCGAGTGTTTTTGAGTGTTTTAGGGTTTTTTTGAGTGGGAGGAGCACCAGAAATATGATGTATTTGATACTTTGGGTTTATAAATAAGTGATACTTTGGGTTTATAAATAAGTGGGTGTTGTATTTTGGGTGTATGGATCATAATGAAAGAAGATGGGTTTAAAAATAAGTTGAAGTAAAACTTTGGGTTAAAAAAAGATTTTCCCTTTTAATTAACAAAGTTTGTTAATTGAAAATGTTGGTGGTGACGCGACAGACCAGAGTCCACCCAAATCCATTCAGCTCCCAAACGCGCGAGTCCAAATCGCCACGCGTCGCATCAAACGTAACCCCAGCAAAAGTCTTGCCACGTCAGCAAAAGCACAAAAACATCGTGACCCAAAACTGTAATTTCCTCCGACTCCAAAAGCACTAGCCCATCGATCCTCCCTATAATACGCCCGGGCCGTACGTCGCCTTGTCTCGCCCTCCGTTAACGAACCGAGAAAACCCCCCAACAAAAAAAATAGGGTTAGGGTTTCGGGTTTTGGCGATGCTCGATTCGAACGGGTCGCCGGCCTCCGGCCAGATCGACGGAAT